CTAGCATCCCCTGTGTCAATCTCGTGTTGTACTAAGTTGGTGATTCCTAAGTCTGTATCATTCCTTGAAAAAGTAGATTGAAATCTACAAAGAAGATCCGATATTTTCTTCCTTTCATCAAGGGTCCTGTCTTGGGTAGCTCTAATACATAATTCTGTAAGATAAACAGGTACATTGGAATTTCCACCCCCCTTATTATTGCTAATTTGAGAAGAGTTATTCCCCTTTTGGGAGTTTTCAGTCAACTGTATCCTTCTAGTTGGCTGGTGACTTTGTTCAGAGAGGCTTTCTGAAGACAATATCACTTCTACATTTTGAGGATCTACATGTTCAGCTTCCCCTAAAATTTCATCTTGTTTGATAGTAACGTCTGTCTTGAAGGGATTCATTACCCTTATCTTTGCGCAAACTTTATTTTCTAAGTCTGTCAAACATGACGCCATCAGAAGAGAAAATCTATTGTTGAAATCTTCCGAAGGTTCAATACAAAATACATAGTAAGGTAAATTCTCGTCACTTTCAAACCTGTCAACAAAAACATCAATTAATTACTCACTGTATGCAGGAATTGTAATTTTCTCTGCAGCTAAGACCCTTCTAGTTTTCTCTGTCAGTTGCCTGACTCTGATTTTATTTCCTCTGAAAGTAATGAAATTGTCATGTAATTCTATTTTAACAGGTCCATTTTCTTTTTTTTATAAAATATCTAATCCTAAAAGAGCTTCATCTTGAATTTCAGCCACAATAATTTCCTCTGTGAATTTTACGTGGCCCAGTTGAACTTCAAAAATGGCTTTACCCAACTCATTCAAGGGTTCCCCATTAACACTAGTTAATGAATTTGACTGTTTTAGTTGTGGTCTTGATTCTCTGGGGATTCTTTCAAAAATTCTCTTAGATATGATTGACCTTGTGGCTCCTCTGTCAGTGGTCCATTCTATTTCTACACCCTGTACGGAACCGCTTGTATATATCCCAGGACTCCCACTTATTTGCCTGAGGATGTATTCAAGAGAGAAACCATGGTGCTGAAGATCTTCAGAATTAGTACATTCATCTTGTACTGGTCTATAGGAATCTTCCTGACCACACCTGTGGATTTCATCTGCAACAAAATCATGACTCAAACTTGGATTATCAAACAAAAGTGAATTGCAGTTTACCTGACCTGCATTTACATTTAACTCTGGGCAGTCCACCTGACTATCTCCCAGGTTAAATGTACCATCCCAGCAGTCTACCTGACTACTATCAAGGGATTCAGAATTTGGATCCACCCCCCAGTCTTCCTGACTGAATCCATGACTTGCTATTCCAGGTACCACCCCACAGTCTACCTGACTGTGTCCAAGACTCGCAATTCCAGGTACCACCCCCCAGTCTTCCTGACTGAATCCATGACTTTCAAAATCCGGTACCACCCCATCCGGCTCCACTCCGAGCACTAAATTCAGCTGCTGTTCAGCAGTATGAAGTTTGTCCAAGTTTGTGTTACACCTATCCACCGTCATGATATTTGTAGAACCTTTTCCTTCAGCACCAGGGTTGTCCTCTGTTTTCTTTTGACTAGAAATAGAATAATTGTTGTCAATATTAATAGAACAATCAAGAGTTGGGCCATTTTCAAAATTCAACTGGGTCATCTCTCGGCCAACAGAGCTGACCCGATTTAGTTTAACGAAGGCTTGAAGACATTTGCACCAGGATTAAATGGTGCATTATCATGCATCACTTCTTGCTTTTTCTCACTGGAGCAGTTTCTGGCAAAGTGCCCTTGCTCACCGCATCTAAAGCAAATTAAAGGTTTCCTGGGCCGTTGCACTTGACTTCCACTGTTGGGCTGAACTGCAGTTAAAACTTCTTGGATGACCTGTTTCAGCTCAGTTTTTGTTATAAAATCTGACTCGGATCCCTTTTGGCCTTGCTTATCTAAGTTACTAGAGGGGCTCTTCCCTTTGGATTCTGTGTGTTGTTCTCTTTTATTCCAATTTTTTGTATGGGTTTTGCTATCCTTGTAAGAAGTTTCTCCTTGTGACAATTGATCCTTACTACTCAACACTTGTCTTACAGGTCCTTTGCAGGGGGCATAATTTTGTCCATCATCCGCTGTAGGGTATCTAGTGGCTTCCTCGTACTCAATGACAAACTCCGTAGCCTCTTCAATAGTTAAAGGATCCCGGTTCAATTCTACATGTAAGCGAGCTTTCTCACTTGATAAACCAAGTAAAAATCTGGAAACTAAGTCCTCTTGTCTTCTTTTGTTACCCCTATCTGGATAGGCCTTATTGTATAGACTCTTAAGTTCGACAGCATAATCCTGCACAGATTCTCCATTTTTCTGGTCTCTGCGTCTAAATTTAGTCTGATAGGTTTTGTTGGTCTCAATAGTACCAAAACGACTTTCTAATTCTTTGAGGAGTTTCTTATAATTGGACAAAATTGTTGGTCCAAGCTCCTCAAACACAAACTCACCTGCATGACCTTGTAACCTTGGCAACAGTTGACCTAATTTTTCTTTGTCTGTCCAACCATTGTGTTGAGCTACTGCTTCGAACCTGTTTATATAAGCTTTCCACTTCTCATCAGACTCTCCTTTAAAGGCTGGAAGTTTTACTGAATGACTGGAATTTCTGTTACCAAATATCTTTGGGGTTGACATGGATCCACTTGACCGTGCTGTTCTTTCATCGTCAGTATCCGAGTCCTCATCAAGCTCAGTGGTAGTATAACCAGTGGCTAATGGTAACCTCATCCTTGATGTCTTTCTGTTAACTCTGCAAACTGATGTAGGTTTCCTTCGGATTTTACTCCTCCCTCTGAGTCCTTGATCATCTTCACTGGTTTCTCTTTGACGGGCTTGACTGTCTTGGTTGGTATTGCTAAGGATCTTACCTAAATCACCTGTCATCCTGTGGAAGGCGCCATTGATTGTTTGGCTGAGACTGTCAACTATACTACCTTCATTGATGGTGACTTGATCCTTTTGAGTATGTTTTCCTTGGTTGACTTGGCTGACTTGGATCATGTTACTCACAACCTTACCTAGATCTTCCGTCATTCTGTTGAAAGCTCCATGGATAACTTGACTTAGACTGTGAATTATATACTCATTTGTATTTCCTAACTCACCCTTTTGACTTGAGTGATCTCCCTCAGCCAAAGAAGTCATTTGACTGTTATATGGGACATTACCTGGACCAGTCGTAGTACAAGTTGTGTGATTACTGTTTGTACCAGTATAAGTTGGACTCAAGCCTAAGCTTGCAACTTTGTGTGGAGTCTGTACTATAATCTTTGGAGAAAGTGCCCTCTCATGTGGGGGGCATATGTACTCATTGACTACTTGGTCATCTTCCGATTCTGTCAAGTTCTCCCCATCACTTGTTTCAGTGAGGTAATGTATCTCATGGGTTATTGGCTTTGATGCCACTTTGGTAATTTCCTGTGTCTTTAATTTATTTATTTCACCCTCCGTCATATTTCTATTCTCCTCTCCATGAAGAGCTGCTTGACGTCTGGTATACATGACTCAGTGGTTAAATTTTAAAGAACCAATTCCAGGCGTGGGTTCGTATCCCACTTCTGACACCAAAAATTGTAACGGGATAGCGCTCAATGGCTATCCCACTTCTGACACCAAAAATTGTAGCGAGATAGCGTCCAACGACTATCTCATTTAAGTACTGCTATAGTGGTTCTAGAAGACAGGAGTTAAATCCCCTTTTAAACACTGAGTCAATAACACTAAACTCGAAAATTAAGTTTCATAAATTTATTGAGTCTGCAAAACAATAAACAATTTTAACACAAAAAAATAATAATATCCAGGCCTTTTAACCACCCTTTTTACTGACAAATATCACAATATTAATAAATTCTAATAAACAGCCGGATCTCGAAATAATCGAAATATATGGCTGAATTCTATCTATTAAACTTAATTATCAATGAATAAAAGATTATTAACAACTGGAAATTCAGATACGATCGGATCCTGAAATAATCAAGATATATGATCGTAAATAAACCCCCAAAGCTGTTAAAACTAAACTTTCCCCCAATTAAATTAAACCAATTACCGAATTACAATTAACTGATTTAACAATTAGCAAATAATTACCAATTTTGTCTAAAAGCCCAAAATAATTATGTTAACCCTAACATCAAAAATAGCAGACTCCCCGATTTACGGAAGAATCTCCCCTTTTATACTCTAGAGAAAATTCGTATACAAAACTCTTACGAATTCGTATAAATTCTTACGGAATATACGAAAAATACGGAAAATCTTATACGGAAAATAGTTCCATTAAGATAATTCGAACAATAATAAGTATTTCACCATAAAATAACTTGACTTTCATTCATTCAACAATAATTAATTAATTAATTACCTCATAACTGTTCATTTTTACTTCTGTACAAAACTCCAAGGGCGTATGAATAATACCGCGGATCAAGAGAAAAATAAACCGGAAGTATACCACAATGCAATGCGCCGCCATGTAAATAGAAAAATAGACGGTCTGCAATACTACAACATGTGTTAGCACAGTACAGGTAAAATAAAAGTGAAAAATGTAATTTAAACAAAACATCTAGCAGTTCATACTCTTTCAACAGCATTTATACAGTTATTTCAACAAGAACATCATTAATTACGAAAGGACATACATGTATTACAGGTACTCGTTCTACTTTCACTTTGCATACGATGACATGAAAAGTTGTGAATCCAATTTTAGAACATCACTCAATAAATGTTATAAATGTACAATGCATACACTCAAATTACTCAGATTGTGAACAATATAAATGCTAAATTAATTGGCTAGATTTGTAATCTAATTACAAACAAAATATAAGAGGACTTGAAATGACCAAACTTTACAATTTCAATGGAAGATACTGTTGAAGGTTCTGTATAAATCTACCATATTTAGGGCAGGATATATTACTAAGTCCTAAATAATAACAGTCATAAAATCATGATAACCTACAATTAATTCCTGTTTTGTGGCTATTCCATCTTTATTTTTATCGATGGCTGATTCAAATTCCCTCTTTCGGACCTCTCTCTCTTCCTTCCTCTCTTTCTCTGACCCCTCTTCCTGCATCATTTCATCAGAATTTGTCATAAACTCCTTCAGGGTCAGATTACCATCTTTATCCTCATCTGCGTTATAAGGAATAAAAAGACTAATTTTTATGCATGTATATAGTTATTTCCCTTGGACTGAAATGTTGCACTTTTATTGGCCAGGTTTCAAATCTTAAAAAATACACTTCCCATTCCTTTGAGCTGAAATGCACACTGTTTAAGTTTTAAACAAGGACAGATGACATAGGCAGGAAATTATGAAGAAAAAATGTGGTTAAAAATTAGCATTTTGTACCATTCCCCATTCCTATATCACAAGAACCTGATATATCAAAAATACTGAAATATTATCGATAATTAGATCAATAAAATTCTCACTTTTTGAGTGCACACAGATTCCTCATGAATCCAAAGTATATGTACTAGAATAGTTTTCTGTGCAGAACAAAAAAAATCCGCTTTGAATGTGACCTCCTTAAACTTTACCTAATGAATTAATTATTGACATGATCATATTTTCCACCAATTGAGGGCTTTGTTCTGGGTGACGGAAGCTGAAAAATTCCTTTTTGTCCAGTTTATTATCAATGGGATCAATGTCAGCATCTGTCCATTTAAATTTGTATCGTACAAGCTGATCTCGTTCTGAAAAAGATTTTTTTTTACTCAATTTAAATGAGTCTCCTAAAAATTTCAAAAAACTTAATCCACCAGTCCTAATTAAAGTTATATATATGTCATCATTATTCTTACCATCCTCTTTTAGTATATCAGTATCATAGTCTTCTAGGTATTTTTCAGTTTCTTTGACCCCATGTCCCTTTGCGAGTAAGAAATGTTTGTAATATTCCTTCCATTCTACAAAGCCTGAAATAAACACAAAAGTTAGAGCAAGCACATTTTCAAATAATTTGTGTTTTCTAACTTCTGATAAAACATTCTTAATTTAATTTGAATACTTAAGCTAATGGCTTAATTGTATCAATTTTTTTAATCACAAACCATCTCCATCAGGGTCCAAATGTTTAAAGACAGCATCATTCTCTTCCACTGCTTCATCCATGTGGGCATTAATTCTGTCCAGGATCCACTGCTCCAGTTCACTGTCACTTAAATACCCATCAGCATCTACATCTATCCTAAAGCCAACAAATAGAAAACACTTTACAATATGTAATCCGGATCTAGCATTTGTAGCAAGTATTGTTGTCATGATTTGACACCCCATTCTGCAACAGTTGATGTGTCATTGATGTCAGGAAATGAAGCAAAAAGTCTACCAGGGGAAAGCCTGGGGTACAAGTCTTCATGGGATGGAATTTTAAACAATTTAAATCTATCAGCAGCTGATTAATACTATTGCAATTTCCAAATTCCATGACAAAAAATTAAGTGACACTTTTAAAAACCTTTGAAGTACTCGTTAACTTTTGATATACCATACACGTCATGACCACAGGCTCCCCTTTTATACGATATACCCGATTTTTCTGAGTTTGTCTCTAGTCCCTGTGGTCATGACAGACGTTTTCTAAAATGTGTATCAAAATAAAAAATATTTCTACTTGTGAAAAATGTCCACTAGTTTTGCCTCTGCTATTTCTATTGGGTCGTCATCCATTTCTTCGTGGTTGCCGAGGAATATTTCTTTGCGATAATCTTTATTTATGTGGCCATCTTTCTCAAACTTTAGGGCATCAACATGGTCAGGAGGGAGCAATTTTTCAGCATTGACTTTCACGGATGAAATGGATTGTTCAACGACATCAAGGCTTTTAGCTCTTGGTCTGCAGTAAACAGTAACTTGAACTAATGTAAATAAAGCAACTGTCACTAATTTAAACATCTTTTTGATGACTTATGATTTTTTGAGTCGTGTCTACTCTCATCAAAATGTTTCTGCGTACATAGATCGATTACAGCGCCATCTATTCAATGTGAAATACGTCATGAAAATTTACCCAGAAAATAGATCACTTACTACGTTTGATAAATATTTATTTCCTTGGTTTAATATTTATACTTTTGGAATCTAAATGCAAAATTAACAAGATTAAAATTATATATGAATGATAGGTTGATTTATTTTTCTTGAATTCGAATTTTTTTTTATCACGCTGCGCATGAAGTCAGATGATACAAAAAGTAGTTCCATTGTTCCCAAATGAACATGGCGGAGGTGAAAGCGAATCCACTTGCAATTCGCGACTTCAGCAAAGTCATTTTGACATTAGAAAATGTACTTATTCCAGACGATAAACTTTCACCTACCCCTTCCATGCAGGATGGACTTGATTTGGATACAGAAACAGACCTGAGAATCCTTGGTTGTGAACTCATTCAGTCCGCAGGGATTCTTTTGAAACTACCTCAAGTACGTACACCATATGTATTTTTCAAAATTTTCTTATTATACATAATGTTAACCTGACATCATCTATGTTAATACCAAAGAAAATGTGTTAACAGATTTATACATTTCTTGCTTATCAAATGGATATCATGGGTAGTGTAAGGCAAGGACCTTGTAACACAATGCGCATATGTACGATTTGAATACGTAATGGCGTAGAGCAGTGTCATCGCATGTGCATGTTATTAGCCAGTGTTTAATGAGAGGGTACTAAGTGTGAGACAGATAAACTATGCAGGTTTTTTTTCTTTTAGATTAATGATTACTATTATTATTTCATGAATGAAATGGGAGTGATTCCCATGAGAATGTCATGAATATAATTTTTTTTCATTTTATATAGGTTGCTATGGCCACAGGACAGGTTCTCTACCAGCGTTTCTACTACTCAAAGTCTCTAGTGAAGCACAATTTTGAGGTATTGCAACAAAAGAAAGAAAAAACTCGGATACAAATAAATTTTCAGTCAGTCTAACCAATGAGACAAAATAGATACAATATTTCTTAAATATATTGGTTTCCATAGTTGATATGACCAAAAATATCAGTTCATATACAGCAGGTTTTTTTACCCTATATAACTTGTGCCAATAAACGGTACCATTCCCAGTGCCAAAAAATTAATTTTTCCCAATTTGAAGAAAAAAATCCACAAATCAATTGCCAAGGAACAGACTACGATGACACCGTAAAAAAAAAAACAATCCCGTCTTTTGACTTCACTGTATGCCAAGGGTTCATGAAGAGAGTAGCGTATCAGAAACCCTTGGCTAGCGAAGATGATGAGTTAACTAAATCATTGTTTAACTCCTCTGAGTTAACTAAATGTTAGAGGAAGTGGCATTTTCTTGCTTGGCCTTATTGTCAGATTTCACATACTGGTAGGTTTTTGTTTTTCATTAAGTGTAAAAATTTTATGAAATTTTGTAGGTTGTTGCAATGGGTTGTATAAACTTAGCCTCAAAGATTGAAGAGTGTCCTAGAAGATTGAGAGATGTAATCAACGTAGTCCATCACATCAAACAAGTTAGAAGCCAAAAGTAAGTTTCGATTTATTTAATTTTCAATGAAATGACTAATGGTAGATATTTTAATATGCATTTCTTGCAGCTTGTTGAAAGCTTATACATTTTAATGTAAAATATGCCTCTGTTCTAGGTACTAGTAGTAAAATAATCACATTAAGTTCTTTGAGTATTTAATGCATTGATGATTTGCAGGGGTTTTGTCCTTGTTTTCTCACAATTCCTCCATTAATATTGTTTTTCTCTTTGCTGCATTGAACAGTGTCTGGAGTGAGCTTCCAAGGCATTGAAACATTTCGGGATATTGGTGACCTTTGACCCCAAACATGGTTTTCCTACATGTTGTGGCCATCAAAGTTATCACTGCTTTGTCAGTGAGCATGGTTTGTATATGAGTCTGGGTTTATCAGTTTTCTACCTGTGGCCTCAGAATGGATAGAACTGAGGAAAGAACATTGAATTTCTTGTAGCAGAGATTAATTTTGCTGATTGTGTAAATTTTATATAACTAAATTAAGCATATGTTGTGGGCTTACAATTTCATCTCCAACAGAATGAGATGTTTTGTATTTCTTCTTCAATATGTTTAATCAAAAAAGAGCCTTTCATCAGAGGTATACTGTTGAAATAGAAATTAAAACTAGCATTTGAAGACCAGTTATTAAGAATTTTACTTATGCATTTTGTTGTGAAATTTTGCATTATATGTACAAAATGCTGTATTGTGTATGAGGAAGTTGAAATTGGCACTGTTCACCATGTTTGAAAATAAAGCAGCAAGAAGAAGATGGAGGAATTGTCTGGCAAACACAGGACTCATTTTATCATTGTATGCCATGTTTTGCTTTTCTTCATTTTAGGACTATCCATCCATTGATATTAGATCAGAACTACATCACAACCAAAAACCAAGTCATAAAAGCTGAGCGTCGTATACTTAAAGAATTGGGATTTTGTGTACATGTACAACACCCTCACAAGGTATATCTATTATTGAACTGCTACAGTAAATTAGGATGAAATTGTTTGAATATTAAATTTGAACATGTGAAACATAAATTGAAATGCTTAAAGTTACAAATGCTTATTAAGCTGCAGCAAAGGTTGCTCTATGGCATGGAAAGGTTATCATGGTTTTTGCTGTCAGACCATGGTATTGAATAATTTGAAACATTTGTTGTCATGATCCGATGTTTTTCAGGTCATTGTGATGTACTTGCAAGTTCTCGAAGCTGAGAAAAATCAGAGACTTGTGCAGTGTGCATGGTAGGTATTCTTTTATTACTATTCTTGTATTATGAACTATAGTATATTTATATTTAGTTTCTGTAGAGAATGATGATGTTGAAACTGTTTGTTTTGATATGTTACACAAATTGCACATGTACATGTATTTTAAGTAATTTGTAAGGTTCTCATTTTTATTGGGAGAAAAACATTATTGCACATGCATTGTTTTGAAAATAATACACATGTATGTTACAAAGAGGGGGGAAAACCTACCTGTACTTTTTATATCAACTTTAAAAGAAATAAATATGTAAGTTCAGCGGATGGATTACAACAGTGAAATAGTATATTTGTAACAAATAAACTGATTGCTGATCTACTAGCTTGGAATATAATGTAAGTTTTGTGTACTTGTATCACAAGTTGTAAAAATGCCATCCTTATAACATTTTCTTCTTTGTATTAAAATGTAGTAATAGTATGATGCTTCTAAACACTTGAATCATATCTGTTTATTCCTCTTTTGTAAAATGCTATGAATAAAGAAACACATTTGATATATTAAACCAGGGTATTCTTTGAAACTAAACAAGGGAATATATTACATTCATTCAGTATCTTCAGTCACATTTCTTTGTGTTGTATGAGAAAACCATATTAATGCTGAACTTTTCCTTTTTACCTACCCCAGAATTAGGTGGGTAGAGATGTCTGTCATTGCAACGTCTGCCTAGCAGCCTGAAATTCTCCAATGTTCTACTCCTCTTCTACATGACCTGGCACACAGGTAACACATGGACAGAACAGAACAAGTCACCAGACCGGAACCTGCAGCCATAAAGTAACTGAAGTTTTCCATCTCAGCATGGAACAAATTCAGTTGTGTTTTTGATAAAACATGGAAGAGTTTACTGGTGAACATTTCATGTCTTGCTATAAATGTTATTGTCTTGCTGAAATGAGAGAAAAAGCTTAATTCTGTTCACAGAGGAAAAGAAAAAAAAACATCTCTATAAAGTGATTCATGTTTGATAAAACTTTCACATTCTGTGTATGGATAACAAATTAGAAGAGTGAACATTTTTAGGAGTCAAACTTTGTCAACAAGTGTGTGTTGTACTTGACAAGCAACTTTTGCAGCTGTGTTTATTGTTCCCTCAACAAACTGGACTCCTATTGAAGGACTTTCCTGTGAAGAAAGAGACTGCTCTTGAAGATACTGGAGTGTTGGCAAGCAAGCAGATGGTCAATATCTGTCTAGATAATTTTTATTTTTTCTTTATTTTTTACTAAATTATTAATTACACAGGAAACTGAACAACTTGTGGTGCATTCTTGTCAGCAGCAGAAGGAAAATGGTTGGTATTTTTATGGTTTTCTCTGAAACACAAGCTAGGGATTGATATGCTGGCAAAAGAAATGTTGCTTGAAATCACAGGTATAAAACATGATGTAGGACTCAAACATCCACACACATGCCCATTATAAAAAGATAAAAGTTGTGTACACAATTTGTTGGATGAGTTAAATTCTATAGTTCTTTTTTTCCTTTTCAGGAACTACATGAATGACAGTTTCAGAACAGATGTATTTGTGAGATTCCAGCCAGAGACGATAGCCTGTGCTTGTATATATTTAGCTGCAAGACAGTTACAAGTAAGTATTAAGTAACAGACTTGTCGAAATTTTTTTATCACTGTCAGACATTTGGTCTGACAAAGTCGAATGTTCTGTCGGACCAGTCAAACTTTTGTCAGACCAGACACTTGTACCTTATTTTGATGCTGAGAAAGTCATATAAATAACAGCACCAAAATGCCCTCTTATTATTTTCAATAGCCTTCAATCTAAAGAGTTTCCTTTCTTGGGATAGAGAGTCTTTAACATAGACACAAATATCATGTTTTATGACTTTAATATAACAAATTTACTTGGCTATCGTCAACCACTCTCTACCATCGGCTCATACATTGAGAGAGGAACGAACAACAACTCTGCATGGGAGATTGATCGTCAACTTACGCGGCCATTTTTTCTGTGTTTGTGACCTTTAACTACGCATTCCTATCCCGACCTTTATTAAATTTGCATTACGCTCAATTTTTTTCAAACCGTCATTTGGACCGACGTTTTCTTAAATGTTATTGGTCCAGACAAATTTTTACCGGCCTTGCCGACAGGACCGACGGATTTCAACAAGTCTGA